ATATTAGAAAGAGTTTTTCGACCCAGAGTGTGGTTGGGCACTGAACAGGCTCCCCAGGGAAGTGGTCACAAGCCTGATAGAGTTGAAGAAGTCTTTGGACAACACCCTCAGGTGAATGGTGTGATTGTTGGAGAAATCCTGTGCAGGGCCAGAGTTGGACTCAATGATCCTTGTGGGTCCCTTCCAACTTAGGATATTCCATCACTCTGTGACTCATAGAGAGCTGCATAGTTTTGCAGTCTTTCAAAATCCTCCTTCAAAGTTCTGTAGTATTCATTGTTCTTGTTGCACAGCAGTGATTCTCTGACAATCTTACAGTATGATCACCATTTTCTGTTTTATTCTGTTGTCTCCTCTATGAACAAATAAGTCAGTCCAAGTATTTTGCACATGAATATAGCCCTATTCTCTCACAGTTGTATCTTACATAGAATTTTGTTGTCTTTGCAAAATGAGTCCTGAATAAGTTTTCCACATAAGAATACTAGTAAAACTAGATAAATTTGAATCCAGTTTAAATCCACAAAGTGCCAGATATAAAAAGATGCATGAGTCTACAGTGCGTGAATTGAATACATATAAAATATATTCTGAAGAACATGAGAAGCAACAATAGTGCTGAATGCACTCATGAGAATATATTTAAAGGAAAAAAAAATACTTCTGGCCACAGCAGGTAATTCATCTCCAGGTAAAAGACTTCAGTGAAATTCCTAGGTCTGTCACTGTGTCATGATTACAGTCAAAAGTAATTAAGACATCTCAAAAAAGACAGCTTTGTCTCCTGAACCACAGTGTTCCTTATGTATATAATGAGGGTGAAGTGTTACATAGTAAAAACTGTTAGATCAGCTCAGGTTAGGGCATGACATACTCAAAATTCCTGTCCTCTGATGTGTATCAGGAATACAGCAATGTATAGGTAAGAAGGGGATTCAGCCCTTACAATCTTGACAGGGCACAGTGCACCGATCCTAGGTGGTGTGCCTTCACATTTACTGCCCTCCACTGGTTTATTTTGGAGCACTACCAGTACCACTAGTGTTTATAATGTACCTTCAGGAAAAAGAAAAGTCCCCTCCTTTCTTTTTTTTTGTGTCCTACCTATTGATACAAATAAATCAGTTAATCCCTCTTTGATTCTGCACTTTAAGAACATGTATATTCACCATCTTATGCCTACTAGTCTTAAGGTAAGTTTAGTGTTACAGTTTAAATAAAACAAAAAATTCTCTGTTCACATGCAGCAAAATATCTTCCCCTGATGTGCTTTGAAAAGATGACTGTTAATTCCATCAATACAAGTGAGACGTGAGGTTATAATGAAATTGTGGTTTGTACGGTATCCTCCACGGATACGTCACACACAGAGTGATAATTTCTCATTTGCCTTTATGCTTTTCATTAGGGTCCTAATGTTACCTGCATTTTGTTTAGTGCAGCAGCACATTGTCATCACTAATCTCATTTCTGTGATCTCTGTTTGGCAAGGAAGTGCACACCGGTGTGAAGTGTTACCTGTTTTATGGATAAATGCAAGCAGACAAAATCTATCAATGTTGTCTCCAAAGGAACATGAGGTGGGAGACAGGGTGGACCCCAGCACAGGCAGTGCCCTCACCAATGGGACAGACCTGGTGCTTTTAACAGGGTCCCAAAGAAGGCAAGTAAGGAACCAGATCCAGAATCCATCAGAGGAATGCAGTCAGAGGAGATGGGGCTGAAGATACGACCGGAGACAAGCTACAGCATCAGGATGAGGGAAACAAGGTACCTACAGCATAGACCCAAGCTTCCTCCAGAAGACATAGCTGGTGACCGAAGGCTCATGCCTGAGCTGAAAGGGGGCTCACACAAATGGGGTGAGGGACTGGAGGGGGGGAATGAAGGCCCCAGGAAAGGCTGCTTGGTTCCCTGAATCCCTTTTTGTGCAGCCCCCTTCCCAGCAAAAGGTGTTGTCATACCTCTCAATCTAGTATTGAAGGATGACTTGCCGGGAGTTGTAAGGGGTCACAGATTCTCTGGACAGGCAAAGTATAGCTGCGTGCTCCAGCTTGCTCTATTGCAAAAAATAAAATCACATAAATGCAATCCCCAAAATCCTGTTCATCACAGTTGAGCTAACACACTCATTTAGGCAAGAGACAGCTGCTTGCCGAGAAGGTAATTCTATTACAACACTGCCACCTCTTGTTCTTCTACTTGTTTTATTTTTACCCAACTCCAGTCTGCAGGGGATCCACCGACAGCACAAAGGCATAAAGTCACCACTACTTCTGTTAAACTGAAACCTTACAAGAATAGCAAATGACTGGATGCAGCACTGTATTTTTCCATATGAGATACAAAAAGGCAGAAAGCTTGAAAACATCCACAGACACATTCTGTCAGTGCTGACTGGTGCGTAACTTTTTTCTCTGCTAAGAAGTCAATAAGGTACTGAAAGAAAGGGGGGCAGGGGGAAACAAACAAAACCTACAACAAAAACCCAGAGGCCACGCAGCAGCAAAACCCACCACAGCAGAAAATATCATGGAATTTGTCCAGGGGCTGTGAAATATACTGTGTCCATGCAATGTTATCTCCAAACTCTGTGACTTCTGATGTGAACCTCAGTTGTCCTCTCAGTACTTGCCCCATCTGCCACCCCAGAACCTGCTACCCAGAGGCATATATTTTCCAGATGCTGGTTAATGAAGAGCACTGCGGGCATCCACCAGAGACACCAAGTCTGAGGATTATGTGGAGCCTCCTGGAGAAGAGTTGGCTGCAGAAAAGCAATGTAAATTTATCATCCTTGAGTTTTGACTAGGTGGTCTCTGGGAAGAGGATTGATGTGCTCTAAAAGGTGGACCACACTGCACTTTCAGAAATAACATGGAGAAAGCCCACAAACAGCAAGAAGAAGAGACAAACTGGACAAACTGGCTGGGCCTCTGTCCTGCTGCTTGTTATTCAGCTAACTCTTTGATTGGTTTCACTAGTGACAGAGATGGGTTTTCTGCGTGGGTTCCTAGCATTATATTTCATCTTTATTTCTTTCACACAGCTTTAGAGAGCAGTTAAAAATAACATCCCCTTAAATTAACACTTTTTTGCTATGCCTTTTCATGATATCTCTTCATGTTTCAGTCTTGGTGTGCAGAGCAGTTGAGAAGGGGTGTAATGGTTTAGCCAAACCTATGAGCCTGGGAGTTGCCAGAAGCCTGGTGAGGTAGACCCACAGCAGTGGTCCCCTGGGCTGTGGGGCCAGCAGAAAGTGCTGGTTAACCCACCACACAGAAAGAAATTACCTGCCAGCTGGTCTGTCAGCAGCAGGTTTGACATCTCTTTCTGGCTAGAAGATCCAGTCAAAAATAAAATTTTTGTCTTGAAATAGAGTTGCTAGCAGGCAAGCAGATGTACCATGGTTGGGTCCTAATGGGCTGAGACTTGAGGCAGCTGGCATTTTTTTACTTCATACGCAATAAACACATTATTTCTGAACCACAGGATTAGTCCAAACTTTCTTGCAACACTCGCTGGTGTCTAAACCCAAGACAAATGTTCAAAAGCTGTGCTGCTTGTTTTGGGCACTCACTAATTTTAGGAGTGAAAAAATATGCAAATGGCAACTCTATCCTGACTGTTATAGCACAAGTTTCCCTCCCACACTATTTTTTCTTAATCTGTACAATAGAAATAACTGTAGTGCAATATGTGTCATCTGTTTAATCACTGTGCTTAGAGTCCTCAGGTTAATGCACACAACATTGCAGAGAATATTGTCATAATGGCATTATCATGCAAATAAACCAAAAATACCAGTTCCCTTAAGTTAGGTTTTAGATTTGTAATTTTGATCTATGTAAACCACATTTATAATTTTGAGCACTATGATCAGGCAAAAGAAGAACTGTAAAATTAACATATAAGCTAATTCTTGATAAATTTTAGTCCAATATTTCATGTTTCAGTCCAATTTTGTGTAAACAAACCTTAAGTAAATATGTTACTTGTTGAGACTTGGGGCTGGACACAGTGCTTAGAAGACCATAAACAGCCAGCCTATGTGGTCTATGCCTGAAAGCATCTGGTACCTAAATATAAGTCCTTGTTATTGTTTGTATGGGAACCAGGCATGGATGCTACAAAAAATATTTCATTATTCCACAAGAGATCAAGAGCGAATGCCTACGGTTTGTCTGGGAAATACCGTAAAACCTAAATCCACAAGCACAGTTACCCGCTTACAAAACCTGACGCTTGCCTCCACCCCTGTGAATGCACTGTCACACCTCTCCCCCACAGGCCAGCAGTCATCCACAGTCACAAAACCTTTAGTCACATCTGGTTACCATCCCCACCCGGAAAATCCTACTGTTCTGTCCCTGCTCACTCCATATCCCTTCTGTCTGTAAGGTCCTCCCTGAACAGCGTTCTCACCATTTGCACCATGGCCCTTGCTCTAATTTAACACTCCCCTCCTGTCCTCCCCCAATATACACCACCCTGCAGATTAGAACTACTAATGAATGGCATCCCCAAGTCTTGTGGCCCCACCTGCTACAACACCCTTCAAACTCTGGATGTTTTCAGATGCTCTTTATTTTCTCTTTCTCTGGGCTAAGAAGAGCTCATCCCTGCCCTGGAAAATGATAACTACTAATAACAAAAACAATACCAGCAATAATAATAGTAGTAATACTGATAAAAAAAAATTAATAGTGTTGCAGTCAGTTTCTCTGTACCTGTTTCAGCCAGAATTGCTTGCATACTTTTACTCTTCAGGGGTAAAGCAAAAGAGGTCCAAAGCCTCTGCTTTTGGCCCAGTCCCTCTGGGTGCCAGTGAGGAGGGAGCAACTGTCAGCTTAGCAGCACCAGAAAACGGGAACCTCAGTTTCCAGTCCTGATAGCCTGGCTAAAGCACACAGGCAAAATGGTTTTGAAGAAACCCTCAGCATCTCGCTCTGAGTGCTGGGGACTCCCGTGTCTGAATTCAAACTTCCAAAACACCATCATCAGAACATCGACTTTATTAATAGAGACAAACAAAGGATTGAAACATGTTAGGAGTTTGCTGAAACACAGAGTGTACCTGTGGAGGACAGACATATTTATATACATCAGTTCATTGTAGAAACGTGAGCCATTTGGTCTAGATGACTAGGTATATCCCCAGGTAATTTGCAACGGATCCAGACAGCTTTCTCTCCGTGGTGGTTCCAGTAAAGCAACTGATTTCCCCCCAGCCCCACCCCAGCCAGGCTAGTGCCGGACCCCTGAACACCACCAGTATCTCATGCAGGACTTTCTACGGCACAGGGTGAGCACAACTGGATTTGGCCTGAAGCCAGTGGTGCAGGCAAACCCCACCGTGGGCTACAGGCCTCTCGCTCTGGGGCGTGCCGAGCTCGGACCTCTCAGCTGCGAGGCAAGAAAGAGGTGTCAGGGTGTTTCGGACGCACACGCTTCCCTCTCCCCCATCTTACCCCCAAACCACCCAGGGGAATCTCCTGGTCCCGGCTCCTCCAGCCGGCAGTGGGTGGATGTTCCCCGCCCGAGGAAGGAGCCGGACAGCCCGGGGCACGGCACGGGGCCAACCCCGCTTCCCGGCACGGCTCGGCACCACTCGGCCCTGCACCGGCACTGCAGCTCCCGGGACCGGCACCTCTATTCGCCAAGGCGCAGCCCGGGATTTTCCTGGACGGACAAAAACAAGCGAGGAAGGAGGAGAGGGAGGGGGAGGAGTGGGACGGGGGAGAGAAAGAAAACAGCTCCACGGATGTCGGATGTCACGGACGACGTTACATGGACCACGCGGGGGCTTCTCGCTGCGTTTCTCGGGCGAAAGAGCTGCGAGAAGTCGTCGCTGTTAGCCCAGGCTGGCACGTCGGGGCGGCCAGACATCGGTTCCTGCGCTCCCGGCGGCTTGTCCCGGTGCGTCCCTGCTTACAGGCACTTGAGGAGGAAGGAATTGCACGAAGTCCCCCGGGGGCAGTCGCAGAGCTTCCCGATGCGGGCCCCCTTCCTCACGGCGCACTGCTCCCCGGCGTCGCACTGCGGGCACCGGCCGGCGGTGAGGAGAGGGGTTCTATTCCGTTCCGTCCCGTCTCGTCCCGCCCTTCCCCTCCCCTTTCTTTTCCTTCCCCATCCCGGTCTCATTCTGTTCCATTCCGTCAAGCCTCATTCCGCCCTGCCCCCTTCCTTTCTCTTCTTTTTCCTTCCCCGTCCCGTTCCGTCTCTCCCCGTCCCGTCCCGTCCAGTCCCGTCCCGCCGCTTTCCTTCTCCTCTTCCTTTCCCTTCCCAGTCCCTCCCCATCCCGCCAGGACACTCACCATGGGCACTTGCCCGAACTTCTTCTCGAAGTGCGGTCCCCTCTTGCTCTTCAGCTTCTCCAGCACCTCCTGCAGCGCCTCGATCTGCCGAGAGACCCCCGCAGCCCCGGTCAGACCTCTCCCGGCCGTGCCGGGCCGCACCCCGCCCTTCCTACCCCGGCCCATCCCCGGCCCCCCGGCCCCACCAGCTCCTTTTCCCGGGAGGTGCCGCCGCCGCCGGGCGCTCCCAGGTCCCGGGCGCGGCGCGGCGGGGCCGAGCCCTGCCCGCGGGCGCTGAGCAGCAGCGCGGCCGCCACGGCGCAGAGCGCCAGGGCCCGGCAGCTCTCCATGGTGCTGCCGCCCCGCCGCCGCCGCCGCCGCCTTTATAGCGCCGCGCCCGCCCCGCCTGCGTCAGCGCCCACCGCCGGCGCCGCGCCCCGGGGCGGCCGAGACCGCTGCCCCAAACCTCCCAGAACGCGGCCGCCCCGGCAGGAGGTTGTCCCTCGCCCTCGGACCGAACAGCGGCGGCTCCGTCCCCGAGAGAGAGGGAGGAGGACGTGGGTCGCCCGCTCGCTCGCCCCCTGCCCGCACCCCCCTGTGCCCTGTCCGCGGAGAAGGAACGGGACGCCCCCGTGCTGTGTGAGCGGAGTGGGAAGCTCTTCCTTCGCTCCCGGCGGGTTGCGATGGAGGAAGGAGAGGGTGGCCACTGGGCACGGGAAGGTGCGAGTGGAGGCTGGGCTATCGGGGAGACTGGGCTGCAAAGTCCTCACGGGGATCTGAGAGGAGGGAGAGCTGGTAGCTTGCGGGCTAAGGAAAAGCACGATGTGGTGGAAAAACAAAAATGCGAGGATTAGCCTGAGGGAGTCTGGAAGGAGGGAAAGATAGAGATGATGAGCAACGAGATGATGAGGATGGGAATGCTTGAAAGAGGATAGATGGGAAACAGGATGGGGAGGCTCAGGGCCACAGAGCAAGGTAAGATGCAATATCAAAACACTCAGGATAAAAGATACTGCTAGTACTTCACAGAGAACTGTGAGAACTGTGCTTGAGACCAAATATCAGATTACAGAGCAGGTGCTTGGGGAGCATCATACATCCTGTGTGTCGAATGTAATGGCAGAGAAAAAGTGCAGTCACCAAAAGGAGACCTTATCATCACTGCACACATCTCATTCAGGCCTTCCCACTGACATTTAGCTCTGTAAGTCCAGTGGCCTTCATGTTGCTGAATACTGTCGCCGAAAGCATCCCTGGCAGGCTCGAAACTGCCCAGGCCTCATGATCATGGTGGGGGCAGGAAGAAGACAGGAGCAGCTTCTTCCATACAGAAAGGCAGTGGCGTGCCCACAAGAACGTGCAAGATGAGGGACAGTGCTCAGCCCTTTCCAGGCTCATCTAGGCCAATGCTGGGGCAAAACAGGGTTAATGAGCAGCAGCTTTGCTGGCATGAGACATCTGGTCAACTGGCATGTGGGTTGTGGGGACAAGGAGACAGGGAGCAGGGTCTGCCTGTGAGGAGGTTCCACTTCCAGCTGCAAGCTCTGCAGTGGCACGAGGATGTTCCTGCCCAAAAGCCAATGGCAGCAGGAACTGGGCTGGGTCTCCTTAGGTGTAGGATCATCTGGAGAAGGAGGAATTTGGAACCTCCTTAACAAAACTCTCCTTGCTCCTCATTTGTAGGGGAACTAGGAAGGGGACCTAGGAACCCAATGTGAGTATTAAAAAAAAAAAAAAAAAAAAAGTGTTTAAAGGAAAATTAAACAGGCAGAGTGATGTATTTTTCCAAGTAGGCAGACAGTGTTTTAAGGGAACAAAAGGAGTTTAACAAGTCATTTCCAACAGCACTATTTTGTTTGAAGCAATAAAAAGGCTCTGATCTGACTATCACGTTGCTTGCCTCCAGAACTGCGTGTTCACCTCTTGCTGTTACCTCCTCCCACACACTCCGATTGATCATCACATTCAGCAAAGGTCTCATTTGTAATTGCTGGTCAGAGGAGAGATCCTCTGCCTGTTTGCACGAATCCTTGTTTCATTTTACCACCAGGAAAGCTAAGATTTCAGACACCACGCTGGTGGTGAACCAATCATAGCAACGCCCAGGCTTTGGAACAAAAACACAAACATGTGCAGGTACTGAAAATGATGGGTTTGCCAAAACAAAGTTTCTTAGGCTGTGAAAAATGCAACACTTCATATGGAGAGGCAGATATATGGCCTATTCAACTTTGATAGCAGCATCTATGAAGCCTGACCAAAAATTCAAGCTGTATTTTATAGTATGAGAATTACTCATGCAGTTTTGAACACACCACAGACATGCTCAGAAAACACGACCGTTTTCTTTTGAACTTGCATTTCCTGTAAAAAGTTGAATTTAATGTTAGTTAACCCCAGTAAAATTATTCTTTAACGTGGAAGCAATTACAAATTTCTGTTTCCAAAAGTGGTTGTATCTGTCTGGCTACAGACACCCACTGAACTGTATGTTTCTGCTTGTTACTCTTTGCATTACACTGTCTCTGCAAACATCACTGTCCCTCATTCCCCATTCACCTGTTCTTGTGGACTTTGTCTCTAGCACTAGGGGGTAAAAAACCATCAGGATAAATATCAGCAGGACAGCTGAATATTAAATAAGAGTGTCAGAAGCTACCATGTAAGGGGGGAAAAAAGGGTAAAGGCATAGAAGCGTAAGATCACTGTTCACAGTTACAAACAGGCAGGCACCTTTTGGCTGTGTCAGTAACCAGTCATATGAAAGGACTGGCTATGGAATTAGGGGAGCCTGTGGCACTACAGAGCTCAGGTCCAGACAATCTACATGAAATGCCATCAGACCTTGGGGACGGACGGCTGTGTTGTACTAATGAACTGATTCAGTTTACTAATCCAAGCTTCTCAAAGCTAACTTTCTCCATGTGAACGTTACTGCAAATGAGGTACAAACAGAACACAATCAATGTGCATTAGCATCTCTACCTCTGATGGATAATTTTTAAAGTTATACATGGTATATGCTTTTCATAATCACACTCTTCTATCATGATCAACTAATTAAGTGTACTTCTAAAAGCGGGAAAATAATGGAGGTTTATATTGATGCTGCTGAGTATTTCTGTGGCATTTATGTGTTCTAGTTTTGGCTTGACACAGACATAAGAGTTGGATGGATTTTAGTATTACTAGACTGTAGAGATTAGCGAGAAGCATTTGAACAAGTACTTTACTGAATCAGAGACATGAAAATGGACATCTGGCTTTAAGTGGATCTGGCTTTAAGTGGATGCTTTGAGGCTTCGCTGAAAAGCAGCAGGCTTTTATAAGTGCCTTGTTAAATTGCCTTAATTTATAAACCACAGTTAAAAAAAATTAGATAATATACCATCACTGGTTTTCTGAATCAAGACATTTCTTTGGTTGAAACCTTTAACAGCAAGGAAAATCTAAGTTAAATCAGAGTTCTGCCACATTTGAAGCAATAAGAGTCCAGAGGCATACTTGAAAGATAACATCTATTTCAGCAGGAGATAGCAATTCATCTTGATGAGTAATAGATTGGAAAACAGCCACTAAAATAAAAGATGGGTTCTCAGAAGAGCAGTACATACACAAATGCCCACACAAATACTGAGGCTACAGACTCTCCATTAAACTAACCCCAAAATGGGTGGAAGACTAGTGGGAACAGGTACCCAGTGGCTTCCCCATTTCTGCAGGCAGAGCTGTCATAGAGGCTCTGGCTACCCACATCTCATTTCAGCCATGGAAGCAGGCTCACAAGCCTTGAAATGATTGTGTTCCTGAAGCTCTACCTTGGTGTTTGTTAAAAAAACTGCCAATCCAATCAAAACTTCAGTTTTGATTGAAGACAAAATTGTGGCTCCCAGTGGTTCCCAGCACCTTCCTAGTTAGAATGAGAATGAAAAAGAAAATGGCAACAGGTATGCTTTTATGATCCATCCTGAATTCACCACCTCAGCCCAGGCAATTTGAGAAGGTAACCCTTGGTTACTGCAACAGTCTCTAGGGACATGATGAGCAGCTTAACCCATCTCATTCACAGCTTCCCGTTTCCTTAGACAGAGGTGTTTGAAAACCTCGAGGTCACAGTATCGACTTTTAAACCAACGGTAGTCAAATGCTGACCTCTCTTAAACTGACCATTGTTTAGCTATCACAGAGAACTGGAACTAGATAACCTCTTGGCCTTTCCTCTTCTCTAAGGTCAGAGTGGGACACATAGCTTAGAACAGCTATGCTGAAAGCAAGACCTGATGGGAGCAGAAAGGTCCCCTGGAAGTCTAGAGCACCGAGTCTGATGTCCTAGTCCACCACAGCTAGTGTACTTGATATGGCACAGCCATTTCCCTTGTTCCTCAACTTCCATCTGAAAAAGCAGTGTCATCCCTGGAGAGTATCATCCTTTCCAGCACGGGAACAGATTGGTGGTTGTGACGTGCTCCAATACTACAGTGAATAGGCGACATGTACCAGAGACGAGTAGGGCAAGTCTTCATACAGTTACCCACAGCTTTCACATTGCCTCTGCCATCAGGAATACTATGCCCCTGCAGTGGCTGCTACCTTTTATTTAAGTTTACTTGCAATTTGCCTTCACTAAACATCCAGAAGAATCCTGTGGTACACAGTGCCAATGGAAAGTGAGAATGGCTGTTGTAATGGCATCCATGTTAAACCTAAAAGGCAGCTACCACTGCAGAAGTATGAGATTCCTGGTGTTAGAGGCAACCTAAGAGACGTGATTATTTTGAGACAGCATGAATAGATCTACCGACATCACCAAATACAGTACGAGCATGGGGTCCAACTCCTCGCTCCTGCTGGATCCACAGAAAACAAGTTTCTCCAGCAAACCTCTGGGTGGCAAGAGGCCATCTCTGCAATCAGTGCCATCACAAGCACAGTCAGTGCCCGCATACAAAACACAGTGCATTAACCTCCAAAAGCTTTTCCAAAACACCTATGGAGTGCAGGAGTGACAATCACCAGTGATTCTCTGAATTGCTGTTACGCAGGGAAGGTCCTGCTCTGTAATCGCCGCTCACAAGAACGTGCTGATGGGATGCTAAGCCTGTGCTGATTAACTTCATTTGTGTAACATTTCCAAAGCTAACTGTTATTAAGGCAGAACATTCCTATTTATTCAGAAACGTGTTTGACTTGGCACACATATTCAGTGGAAGAAATTTTGACAACTGTAAATAACTGCCTTTTTACACCTAACAAGTGACAGGGAGTAACCATTCACTGAAACATGAATCCTTCCTAATGTTTCAACTTCTATTATTTGTATCCCAGGATTATTTGTTACTGTCTCCAACGTGGT